GTGGAAGCCCAAGCTGGACACGCTCATTGGCACCACCTGGCAGACAGGCACCCTCGAATCCCAGTTCCACGATGCCTTGAAGCGCCAAAACAAGATTGTCGCCGAAGCTCGCCAGAAGCGGGATTCGGTGAGGGACAAGCAGCAGAAGGTTGACTTTAGACTGAAGAGTGCCAAAGATGCCGGCGCCAAGAATTCAGACGAAGCACAGCGCTGCCGCAGTGCTGTCGTCGATGCCTTGCAGGCTGTTCGAGACGGTGCCAGCATCGATGACTACGAGGAGGAGGTCAAGATGCATGAAGAGGACGTGGAGACGTATGCCACCGACATCAGCCTCTTGGACGCTCTGGCAGACTACTATCGAGGCTGCCAGAAGACTCTGCTAGAGAAAAACAAGTGCCGTCTCTGCGACCGCAACTTCGATGACAAATCGAATGTCGCCAAGTCTCGCTTCTCAGACAAGTTGATCAAGTTCCTTGATCCCAATAAGAAGGAGAAGGCAGAGGAGGATCTTGCCAACTCTACTGCGTTACTTGATTCCCTGCGCAAGGTCAAGGCGCAGTATGAGACATACAAGAGATTGATAACAGAGCTCCCTTCTGTGAAGGAAGAGGTTGCTTCCCTCGAGTCTGAATGCGAAACTCTGGGACGGCAGCTGGAGGAGCACGATGCCATAGTCAGTGCCGAAGAAGGCAAGCTGACCGATATCGAGTCTCTCAATAAGACAGTCATTGGCATCACCCAAGCCCTCAAGGACATCAGGGACTCGGAGGCGCAGGTCGACAGAATCATGAGTCAACAGTCATCCGGCACGGTCAGCAGAAGCGCTGACGAGATTCATGAACTCCAAGCGTCTTGCAACGAGCAAATCAGATCGATGAAGAACAAGATCTCCAAGACAACGTCGGATCGCCAGCGGATGAAGGACCAGATCAACTCGCTCGAGCTGGAGAAGAGTGAGCTCCGGAATAACCTGAGCAAGGCCCTCAACCAATTGGAGCGCAAGAAGGACTTTCAGAATCAGATCCAGACCTTGAAGGAGGACCAACTCCATCAGCGAGATTTGATCAGCCGAGCTGATCAGGAACTGGAGTCCATTGAGCCCGAGATCGCTGAGGCCAGATCAGTCCGAGACGACACATTGCAGCGTGGTCGTGCAAAGGAGCAGGCTATTGCCGAAGAGCGAGACAAAGTCGCTGACTCGGTCACGGAGCTGAAGATGGTCGAGAACGACATCCAAGACTACATTGACCGCGGCGGCTCCTCTAATCTAGCAGCGAACCAGCGTGCCATTGCTAGTCTCGAGAAGTCGATTGCTTCGCTGGACAAGGAAATTTCAGACTTGACTGTGCGGACCAACAAGCTGAAGCAGGACATTGACAATGGGGACCGCAAGAAGCAGAACATCAGCAACAACCTGAAGTACCGCCTGAACCTGCAGCAGCTCGAGATCCTTCGTCGAGACATCGAGGATCTGGAGTCCCGTGATGCTGACGAGGACTACAAGACGCTGATCGCAGAAGCGAAACAACTGGAGAACCGCCACAATCGGCTGGTTGCCGACCGCGGCTCCATCATGGGTCAGATGAAGACCAAGGACGAGGAACTCGAGCGGCTCCTACTCGAGTGGGAGCAAGAGTACAAGAGCGCTGCCAAGAAGTACCGCGAGTCGCACATCAAGGTTGAGACGACAAAAGCAGCCATCGAAGACTTGGGCCGGTACATTTCGGCTCTGGACACGGCCATCATGCGGTATCACAGCCTGAAGATGGAGGAGGTCAATCGCATCGCCGGCGAGCTGTGGCAGAGCACGTATCAGGGAACTGACATTGACACGATCCTCATTCGCTCCGATAACGAAAACGCGACGACGGGCCGGCGCTCGTACAACTACCGCGTCTGCATGGTTAAGCAAGACACAGAGATGGACATGCGCGGCCGCTGCTCGGCGGGCCAGAAGGTGCTCGCCAGCATCATTATTCGCCTCGCCCTAGCCGAGAGCTTCGGCGTCAACTGCGGCCTCATTGCTCTCGACGAGCCGACGACTAACCTAGACAAGGACAACATCAAGAGCCTTGCCGAGAGTCTGCACGCCATCATCAAGGCCCGCCAGGCCCAGAGCAACTTCCAACTCATCGTCATCACCCACGATGAAGAGTTCTTGCGGCACATGCGCTGCAGTGACTTTTGCGACAGCTTCTTCCGCGTCCGGAGGGACGACAAGCAGAACAGCGTTATTACGAAGGAGAGCATCACGAGGGTTTTGTAAAACATTACGCGACGGCGTTTGGTCGACGATTGGAAATCTCGGGGGTCGCGTTTACGACGGGTTATGGCAAGCATGGCGTCTGGAAGTGAGGGAGGAGTTGTGTCTTTTGCCTTTAATGCCACACCTATAGCTGCTCGTGTAGTTTGTGGCGAGGGCTACTTGTGCCAACATCTTGGCATTTGAGTCTCAGTTTACGCAATGATACCTCCTCGACTGGCAATCAATCCTTTCTCAGTTTTACACAGTTTTGTGATATTTTGTGCCCGCGACAAGCCCCAGTTCCCAGCCAGGATGGTAACGAATCACGTTCCGTGACCGATTTCACCACATGCATCTGTACGAAACGCGCTAATAAATACAACACTCAGCGATTCGGGAACGAGCTTGATAGGGAGGGAAGAAGGGGGGTTCCGGTGGAAGCGGTTCATGGTATCATAGCCTCTCCCCTAACACGTAACGCGACGAAACCTCCCCTAGCAAAACATCAAATACGCGATGACACGCCCTCCTCAACTGTCCGCCACCGCGGTCTCCGTCTTTGCCTCGGGTCCAGCCGCCACAGTCTCGGTCGTCGCGTCGCCCGTGCTGGCCTCGGCATCCCCCTCGGCCTCTCCAGTCTCGGCCCCGGCTGTTACGGTCTCGTCCTTCGCCACCTTGCCGTCCTCCTTCTCCCCCTTCCCCGACGGGTCGGCCGTGGCGGTCTCTGGCGCGCCCCCGGCCACGTCACCCTCGTGCTCCTTGATCTTCTTGCTCGCGAGGCCGTCAAGCTCCTCGTCGGCGTCGCGCTTTGAATGCGACGTGACACTCGTATCGGACGCCGCGTCGTCACCGGCTGTCTCGACAGGTCCCACCCCCGTGACGTCTGCGGCGTTGTTCTCCTTCTCCGCTTCCTCGAGCGGGGGCGTGGCGCGCGTCTGCTCGGCCTTCCGGCCCACGGCGGCCTCGACGTCGATGCCCTGCATCTCGAGGCCGGGTCCGCCGCTGATGAAGCTCGTCGTCTCGCTCTGTGGGCCGAGGTCGCCCACGCCAATCTCCTCGGGCCCGCGAGCGTGCGGAACCTCGTTCTCTTCTTCGGCGGCGCCTGTGGTATACTCTTGCTGCTCCTGATCCCGCCCCTGCTGTTCCTGTTCCTGTTGCTCGGGGCTGGCGGCCCTGCCATCGTCCCCGCTCCGCAGAGCTGCGGCGTGCTGTGCTTCTTCTGCTTGTCGCACTAGTTGGTTGACTGGAACGACGCCCTGCTCCTGCTCCTGTCGCAGTAACTCACCTTGTGTTATCGCGCGGTTGCTGCTACTCGCACCCATGGACGGTATACCGTTGACGCTAACGCTGACCGTCTCGATGCTACCGACGCCGTTGGGACCGTCAATGGTCTCCGTCGACTCGGTGCGGATCTCGGCCGGGCCGCCCCCATTAGAAGAAGCTGGCGAGGAAGATCCCGGGCTTACACGGCGAGTGAGCCAGGGGATTGGGGTTAGTAGGGCGCCGCCGAGGGCTTCGTCCGTACCGACAGTCGAGGCGACCGAGTTCGTCGAGTTGCTCCAGGCCACGGCCGCAGCCGGGTTCTCCTGGCCGTTGGCGCCGTCGTTGGACAGCAGGGTCATGGTGGACATGTCCGGGATGGCGGGCGGGAGCGGATAGATGTTTGCGCCGCTGGTGACGTGAACCACACGGTCAACGGCGTGCAGGTACGAGGCTAGGTGGCGGTAATGGCGGTGCGGCTCCAGCACGAGCTCGGCAAGGCGCTGAATTGTATGCGGCGGGTACTTGGGAAAGGTCGATAGGACGGATTTGATCTCCTCGAGCATGGCCACGATCTGGACGGGGAGAGATGCCGGGGGGTCGGCGGCAGTATTGGCGGCTTCGCTTTCGACGGGGCCCGTCGATGACGAGGGGACGTTGGGGTTGTTGTTCTCCTTGTTGGCGTCCTGCGACGAGGGCAGGCTGCTGGCGGGTTCGATGGAGGACGAAGGGACCGGCGAGAGGAGTCGCGGTTGTTGGCCTGACGCGTTAATTGGTTGAGGAGGGGTGGGCAGGTTCGGAATAGGAAATTCATTGTGAGCGATCTAGACATTCGCGATGCGAACTGGTGAGCGCGCCCTACCCAGAAGGTTTCCAAACATGTGCGGCCATGGGGTTCATGGGTTTATTCGGACGGGCTGGTCGTTTCGAGGGGGCGGTCGAACGTACCTTATCTAGTCTCGAGATGATTCCTTGCGATAGGGCTGGCCATAGACCACTGTTGCAACTCGTGGTTAGCAGCTGAGCAAGAGGATAACAGGAGAGTGGGGTTCTTCCGACATACTAGTCCATCTGGCCACCCGCCGCGACCGTTCGCAAGAGGTCTTCGTCGACCTCAATCTCCATTTTGGCGGGTTTGGGTAGGTCGGGAGAGTTAGTGGTGTTGGAGGAACGGTCAGCTCCCACTGACGTCGCGTGCTGTGGAAAAGCGCGACTGGCCGACAGAGAGTGGGTGGTGCTAAGGGCGGGAGATGCGCCTAGTGTAAATGATTCGCACCTCGCATCCAGAAGGGGAGGGATCATAAACCGCCGAAAGAATGGGTGGCTTAAGGACCGGGGGGGCCACCAGTTGAAACAGCAATGGAGAAAGAAGCAGGCGCATCCAGCCAGTGCTCCTTTCTCAACAGTAGTTAGTCAATGGCAAAAAGTAGTGTGCAACAAGACGTGACAAGTCTCACAGGCCAAGGCCGGCAAAAATTCAAAAGAATAATTTTCATGATCGATGCAGGGATCGAACCTGCGATCCTCTGCGTCTACATTTCCCTACCAGGCAGGAATTTTGTAAAGCAGATGCCTTAGACCGCTGGGCCAATCGACCGGTATTTCTTGTGCTATTTTTGGGTATTTGAGTATATGAACTGACCCATTCTTGATCCGCAACGGTTGGTGGAAGTGAGTCCACGTACCACCTTTGTCATCGTATCCTGAAGGTACGGTCGCCACAAAACATCGTTTACAATAATGAGATATGTATAACTCAAGGTGTATTCTATCTGGCTGGTACCTTTTTGTTTTTCTTTTCGCCTGAAGCGATTGGTTCAAAGTGCCGATGAAAGAACGGATAGAGAGCAAGCAGTAGTCAGCGAGCGAAGTGGTACTTTTTATCCGCTGTGCACGGTACATACCCACCGACCAAGCTCGGTACGCCACACCGAGTAGTTTCGAAATGTGAAGCTCCAACAGCTCTCCCGCAAACCAAACACCAACCCCACCACAACAGTACACCATGCGAGGTTTTCGTGCCCCCAGATCGCTTCTCCAGAGCGCCAATGGCATTCTGTCAGCTGTGCAAAGGTGATCTCCGCTCCCCTATCCCGCCCGACAAGGGAACTTCCCCAATTGACTAAGATACAGCCAGACGCAGGTACCGCTCGCGGCGCGCCTGATCACAGCGTCCGATGCCCTTGCGCCGACCACGACGACGATGGCCGCCTCTTCCCTCGCGGCACGCCCCTTCTCGCACTCGGCCCCTCTCCGGAAGAAGAAGAAGGCCCCGCAGTACCCGACCTACGACTCCCCTGAGATCGTTTCCCGGACCTCCCACACCGTCGACGAGGCCGACCACGACGACCTCCCAGGTTCTAAGCACCCGAAGCCCGACCCTGCCGACCCCCTCAACTTCGCCGACGTCGCCTCGCGCTTCATGTCCCTCGCCGCACATCACACAGAGATCCTCAAGAAGCTCCAGTCCGGCGACCGCTTTTCCCCGGACGCCATCGGCGCCCTGGCCGTCCAGCCCAACCGCAAGGACCCGAAGACCTACCCCCTCCGCGAGCTCGCCGAGATTGTGCCCCGGCCCGGCGGCCGCACCGTCTCCCTCCTCCTCCACGAAAAGGACTACGTCAAGCCCGTCATGGCTGCAGTCCAGGCCTCGCCCGAATTCAACCAGCAGCCGCAGCGCGACCCGGACAACGAGCTCGAGCTCGTCCTCAAGGTCGAGGCAACCAACAAGGACGCCGTCGTCCGCCGGGCCAAGGACGCCTCCCAGGCCTGGCGGGAGAAGATGCGCGCCGTCACGGAGAAGCGCAAGAAGGCCCACGCCAAGTGGCAGAAGGAAGCGTCCATCGTGCCCGACCTGAAGAGACGGGCCGACAAGGAGCTGCAGAAACTCCAGGACAAGGAAATGAAGGTTGTCGACGCGGCGGAGCAGCAGGCGGTCCGGAAGATTCAGGGCTGAGGCTGCTCTCTGGCGAATTCTCGCTTCTCTCGTCCTCTTATGGTTGTCGAGACTATCGAACGCGAGAGCGCCATGTATATGGATGTTTTGAAAGAGGGCTTCTTTTTCTTCCCTTATTACGGAGATATAGCGCGGGGAGAAGTTTCGAAACGTTTGGTCTGTAGCATACAGTAAAAGAGACTTTCGCATTTAAATGTACAGCGGTTTTTGTCTTTTTTCCAACTCTCCTCTAATCCTACAATGCTCATCTTCTTCGGCCATCCGCCCTTTTTCACTCGTCCTCTGCGTGCGTGTGTGTGTGTGCGTGTGTGGTTACAATCGTGTTGGACAATGTCCTCAAGCACTCGCGGTCTTGCCCCCAGCAGCAGGCTTCCCCTTGGCCATCAACGCCGCAATCTTGCCGTCAAACTTACGCCCCTCGCTCGTGCCGTACGTCTCGTTGGCCAAATGCGACTCCCTCGCCATGCTCACCGGATCCCGGCTGCCCCGCTCCACGAATTGGGGGGCCCTGTGCCGCCCCTTGAGGACGCGGTCGATGATGTACTCCCGCACGGCCTGGCCCGCGCCCTCCTCGAGCTTCGCGGCCCGCACGGCCTTGATCTCGGCGCTCGTCGCCGCGTCGTCCTCAGGCACCGCCTGTACGTCACCAAGGAACTTGTCCCTCTCGGCCAGGTCGCTGAAGAAGTACATCCCCTTGCCGCGAAACACGAGCTCCGTCGCCGTATGCTGCATGTCGGACCAGTGTTCGGGAGTATAGTGCTGTTCGCCTGCAAGATCGCGGAGGGAGCGCATGACGGCGGCCGGTGCGGCGACGGCCGACGATGCGCTGGCGATCGGCATGGACGGGGCGAACCCCAGCAGCCCCTCGACGCTCACAGAGGGGGTGAAGGCCTCGGGAAGGAACCCCTGCTCGCGCGCCTGAACGTAGGTGTGCTCCTCCGCCGTCTCAGGACGGAAGAAGCGCTCGTACGTCGAGGCACGGTCGGCCTTCCTATCCGCTTCGTTGGCATCGTCCTCACCTCCTCTTCTAGGTCTTCGACCGCCGCGACCGCCGCGACCGCTTCGGCTAGGTCGTCCGGCCGAGAACCCTGAGGGTCCTTTACGACCGCCGGCGGGTCTTCCGCGTGCTCCAAAACCCTGCGGTAGCTTCACAAAGTTGGTTCCGCCGAGGCCGCCACGGTTGGGCAGGGTCTTGATGTCGATGACTTTAGGCTTCGCGCCGATGGCGGCGCCTACATTGAGTGCGGCCGCATTGTTGCTCGCTCCGCCGGCCCGAGGCCCGCGTCTGAGAAGCTGACCGATCTCACTAGCCGCGGCACGGGATCGCTCTCGTCCGGTCGAGAGGGGTTCTCTCTTGGAAGGGGCGGCGCCGCCACTGTCCTTGTTGCCGAAGGAGGGTTTATCTGTGGTGCGCAATTGCGTAGTGGAAAAGGTTCGGATGCATGTCTTGATGGCGACCACGTCGGGTTTTATACGGCTGCCGGCCAATCGCATAGCCTGCTGGTGCATTTTGGGCGGATTGGTGGCGACAGATCCGCGATCGTTGTCTGTCCAAAGTGGTGAGCCTCGTTGCTGAAATGATCTCTCAGGAGCTATCTGAGAAAAATCTTCGTTACGTAAGCTGTTGAGTGGGTGCCGATCGATTTGGAAACAGACCTGCCCAGCTAGGTAGATACATATCCTCAGGCCACCGATTTAATGGCCAAACGCCCAGAGCAATCATAAAATGTGCACCATGCCATCTGCTAAGCCATATTACAGAGTCTAGAATTGGTATCTTTACATTAGGATACTCCAAGCTGGCAAGTATCAAAAGATATACGTAAGGTGTCCATCGTTGGTCGGGTCTGCTGTCCTGTACATTACCCGTGACTCGTCTTCGTCTTTATGCTTTCCCACCCGTAGTATTCCAAGTCTTGTTCTTCTGGATGCTTTCCTCTCTCTCTCTCGCTCGCTCTCTCGCACAAAATGCATTTCCCATAACCAGAAAAAGCCAGTTCATCCTCCCAAGTAAGTTTTGTTTTAAATCACTTAACCTTCCTCCCTTCCTTAAACGCCTTCCTGTCTGTTCGTCTAATGCCACTTCACCGAACACGTCTGATATAACGGGGGGGGTGCTCGCTGGCGAAGTATAAATGAATCATTCCCGAAAATACAAGTCTGAGATCCAAATCCACAGGCTCCCCAATGATGGCGAGATGACAGCTTGCAACTGGCAAGCTCAAGAAAGAGGCGGCTTCCCGGGCTCAGCACTGTTTAAGCCGAGGCCACGGGAGGTACAGCATGCGATGCTCTGTATTTTGAAACCAGCTCCTCGATCTTCGGCATCAAGTCTGGTATTCTAAAGGGTTTGGAAATCACGTCGTCCTGAGAAGAAATGTTAACCAGGTTCGTTGCGAACAGGCCTAAGACAACTTACGATACCAGCGGCTTTCGCGCTCTCGATCTGCTCTGGCCGCGCGTAAGCCGTGACGGCGATGATGGGTATATGCGTGACCAGAGTTCCAGCCCGCTCTAGTTCACGAATGCGTTTGGCACACGTCATTCCATCCATAACCGGCATCTCCAGGTCCATGAGAATAACACTGAGATCGAATCCTTCGGCCTCTTTTCCGGCCCAAAATCGAGACTTTTTGAGCTGGTCGAGCGCCTCACCCCCATGATTCGCAACGTGAGTGTTGTTGCCGCAGTTCTGAAGTTGTTTTCGCAGAACTCTCTGGTTCACAATATTGTCTTCCACAATCAGCACGTCATAAAGCGGCGTCGCTGCGACGGTCTGCTTCTTGTAAGACGCTCGCCTGGGCAGGGTTGTAGGCGGAAGAGTCGACGGGCCCGGGGCGGTTCCGCTCTTGGAGGGCCGAGCTAGGTTGAGCGCTGAAAGGGTTGCCGACTCTGAGCTTGGCGTTGGCGTCTTGCGGCATTTGACGTAAAACGCAAAGGTACTGCCAATGCCCTTTTCAGAGACGACGCCAATCTGCCCGCCTTGCAACTCGGCCAGCATCCGCGAGATGAAGAGGCCGAGACCCGATCCGCCGTATTGCACATGGGTGCGGGGTGATGCCTGAGAGAAGCGCTGGAAAAGGAGCTTCTTCTCGTCCTCGCGTAAACCCGGCCCCGTATCTTGCACCGAGAAGTGGAGGTTGATCTCTTCTCCAGTTCCCCAGTCCTTCTGTTGAGTCAAGGCCTGTACGTCCTCCTTGCGGGTTGGGAAAAAGGAGACACCCTTCTCCGTGACCTCGGTGATGTTCTTAGAGGCACTCATCCTCATCGTGATCAGGCGTTTCTCGCGGCCTTGGGTGAACTTGATGGCGTTGGTCATGAGGTTGATCAGGACCTGTCTCAGCCTCGACGGATCCAGCTTGACCCAGTCAACGCCGTGAGTGATGTAGGCCTGGTCGATTGAGAACTCCAGTTTGATTTCGTGTGTGTTCAGCTCCGACTCGAACATCTTGATGACGTGCCTCACTATCGTGACGGGGTGAGAATCGACCGGGGTCACTAGCAAGAGCTGTGAGTCAAGCTTCGACAGGGTAAGCACGTCGTCGACGATGCGCTTTTGATGGCTGGCGCAAAGATTGATGGTACTGGCGGCTTCCGTACAGCCTTCGAGAAGGATTTCGAGTTGCTTATCGTCCTGCGGC